TTGTTAAGTTTCAATAAAAAATGTGAAAAGATACGTTTCTTATTTTTTGACTTGCTTCTTCATATGATATTGATTTATTTAATATGGTAGCAGTTCTCGTGGTTTGTGAATATGAATGAAGAACTTAGTAATTATAATTTGTTTTAAAAGTTACCGTTACTAGCGTAAAAATAGCATGTTTAAGAAGCAGTGATATCGGCATACCACTATTTGATGGTTCGGACTATTTTAATTGGAAAGTGCGTATGATGAAATTTCTTCAATTTAAAAAGTGTAAAGATGTGGTTCAGCGACAAGTCAGTGAAAACGATGACGTGGAAAAATGGGAAGAAAAGGATATCGAAGCTACAAATTACATTTACAGCACCATAACAAACAAGCAATTGGAATATATTTACAACTGTGAGACTGCATTTGATGCAATGTATTTAAAAACTTCAACATCTCTACAAATTGTTTGTCGAAATAACTTAGAATGTGTGAAACTGAAAAATTATTCTGATGTAAATATATTTTTCGATGATTTTGAGAAGTATGTGAATTGAAACATGCCGGCACCACTGTGACGGAACAAGAAAAATTGAACTATATGCTAAGAGCAATACCTTCAAATTACAGTCACATTAGTGACTTAATAGATGTATTACCAGAGAAGGACAGAACAGTTGATTATATAAAGAGCAAAATCAAATCAAAATTACTTGAAGAGAAAAATGATTACGAAGATTGTGCACCAGCAGAAAAATTAAATGCGTTCAAAATCAAAACAAGCAAATCAGGTCCACAAGGGAATGTCTGTTATAATTGTGGAAAACCTGGTCACATTAAAAAGAATTGTTGGCATGTTCATCAAAGGAACTATCGTGGTAATGGCTCCACTAATTATCGTGGTCGAAGTTCTTCAAACAATCGAGGACGTAGTAGTGCTTTTAGTGGACATGTGAACGTGGAGCATACTCTAACCATAGAATAAACAGTCATCAAAGCAATAGTTTTCACACCATTGTTATCGAAAGTAACATGATAAGTTCCAGTGCAAACACTGTGACAAAAAAAAATGAAATCAATTGGTTACTGGATAGCGGATGCACAGACCACATTATAACCAGTGATGAATATTTTAAACAGCAAGTCACTTTGAAGGATCCTATTCAAGTGAAAGTCGGTGACGGAAGGATTTTGAAAGCTACAAAGGTTGGCAATATAATAGTTTCTTTTCCTGTATATAACTCTGAATCTATCGTAACATTGAAGAATGTTAATTCAGAAGTCAAACAACAAAAATCAGCGTTATATTTACAAAAATTTTCACAGGACTAGTTTCGATGGTTTTACTGAACCACCATCCTCAGCTGCAAAACCGCAAATGAACATGATAGGAAATAATGATTAGATAAGATAAGAAAGTGTGAACAAGAATAAGCAAGTGGTTCTGGTGAAACCAGAACTAAAACATAATTTCTTTAAAAGCCGAAAGCAAATTTGGATTGGAATTAGGATCGTTAACTAGAACAGAAAGATTTTTATGAATGTGAAATGCCTCTCGAAAATCCAGTTCTCCAATGGAAGATGTTTTTTGAATAATTTTGGCAGCAGAAAAATTGAAAGTGTGATTTTCGGACCAACAATGTTAAGCAACAGAAGATTTCTGTGTTTCCTTTTTTCTAACATATGCCTCATGTTCCTAGACGCAAAATTTTAAGGCTCTCTTAGTTTGGCCAATGTAAATTAAACCACACTGGCACGGAATCCTATAAATACCCCAGGAATTCATATCCGGAATGGGGTCCTTGAGTATGGAACTCGGAATTTTATTGATGGGAGAATAAACAACCCAAAAGTTAAATTTCTGCAAAATATGTGCAACTTTATAGCTAATTGATGGAAAGAAGAAATGACAACAGAATTTTTATAATCTCCTAAAACAAGAGTGTGCCTTTTAGTGTGTTGAGATGAGAATTTTTTAACTGCTTGATTAATAATGTTGGGTGAAAAGCCCCTGTCAATAGCTATTGCTTTTAAATAATTTAGTTCTTCATCAAGGGCTAGTTTGGAGGAGCAAACTTGAAGAGCACGGAAAACATAGGAATAAAATGAAGCTAACTTTTGTTTAGTCGGATGACATGATTTAAAGTATGGTGGAAGGCAAACCGATGAAGGTTTACGGTAAACCATAGTACTGAAGTTGGATGTGTTAGGTGTCACCAGAATGTCGAGAAACGGAAGAGAATTGCAAGTCTCAAGTTCAAAAGTGAACTGAATAGCAGGATCAATAGAATTCATTGTTGAAAGAACTTTATTTAAATCATCTTTATTACCTTCAAACAGAGTAAAAGCATCGTCTACGTAGCCAAACCATGCCGGGAAGTTTAAAGTTTCAAACAATTTTGATTCATAATAATGCGTGTAGATATCAGCCAGGATGTGACTGAGGGGGCTTCCCATGGCTAATCCCTCAGTTTGCTTGTAATATTTATTTTGGAAAACAAAATGTATTTGTTCCAAACAGAGTTGAGTGAGAGAAATTAGCTCATCAATTTCGATGCAAGAGAAATGAAATTCGCGAAGTCTGTTTTCTAGACATCTTAATGCACCTTCCACTGGGACATTGGTGAATAATGATTTTACATCAAAAGAAACCATGAGTAAATTACTAGGAGAAATGTTTTTAACCTTTTTTACAAACACTATTGAATTTTTTATGGTGTAAATGTTATTGTCTAATAGAGTGGAAAATCTAGAAACTAAATATTTAGCTAATGGATACGAGGCAGTACCTAAATTTGATACAATAGGGTGGAAAGGAATAACACTTTTATGAATTTTGGGAAGAGCATATAATCTGGCACAATTCGCAACAGATGGGATAAGCAAATGTTTTAAGTTGCTTGAAATGATTTGCGAAGATTTGATCACAGTTTTTATTTTTGACAAGTTTTTATTTTGCTTTATGATACACCAATGGAGATTAATCTTAAACTAAGCCAATTTAATTTAAATCAAAATGTTAAATATAGAAATCTAATAGGAGCACTCTTGTATATTAGTCATGGTACTAGACCAGACATATCTTTCAGCGTAAATTATTTAAGTAGATTTCAAAATTGTTATGATGAGACACATTTCAAATATGCTTTGAGAGTTTTAAAGTATTTAACAAAACATCTAAAATTAACCTATAGTAAAAATCTTAAAATTGATATTATGAATTTTTATGTTGATGCTGATTGTGCAGGTGATATTGCTGACAGAAAGTCAACTACTGGGTTTGTTATTGAATTATTTGGTAATCTAATTTACTGGAAATCCAAAAAGCAAAATTGTGTGACAAAATCTTCCACTTTTGCCAAATGCTCTATCTGAGGCTGTGACAGAAATTAATTTCTTAAAAAATGTTGTGAATGATGTTTTTGCTGATATAACTCACCCCATTAAAATTTATAAAGATAATTCAGGAGCTTGGGCCATTGCTAATTATGGGAACTTCACTAAAAATTCAAAGAAGTTCAATATCATTATGTTAACGAAAATGTTCAAAATGGAGTAATTGAAATTGTAAAGATTAATTCAGAATCAAATATTGCAGATATCTTTACTAAGTCTTTAGGAAAGATTAAATTTATGAAATTCAGAGAAGGTTTGAAATTGAAATAAATTTTGTATACTGTTTATTTAAGTGATGTTTACTTAAATATTTTTCCTTGAAATGAAATAGATTTTGGTAATGTCCTTATGTAAACTAAATTGTATTTAACTTTGATTTTAACATTTAAGTTAATGAAAGAAACCTTTTTTAAAATAATTTGTGTTAAGTGTTGAATGTTATTGTTTATATCTATGCTTAATTGTAAATGGTAAAGATGAAAAGGTTGTTTATATGTATGTTTATTTGTATAAATGTAAGGAGGCGTGTTAGTTTGGTACATTTATCTTTCCCATGTTGGCAACACCAAGTTTCTCCTCTGCGTGCGAGATATGGATGCCGTTGTAATGTTGTGCACATATTGTTAAGTTTCAATAAAAAATGTGAAAAGATAAGTTTCTTATTTTTCGACTTGCTTCTTCATATGATATCAATTTATTTAACAAAAACATTTAATACTTTTAAACTTACACAAAAAAGCAACCTTAGTTTAGTGCAGATTGTGAATATAAACTATTGATTTTGAGGATGATCAAACATAAACTCTTTTTTTTTTTTTTTTTTTTCCCAGGACCCCAAAAGGGGGGATAAAAAATTTTACTTAAAACAATTTATTTAAAAAGGGGGGAAATTTAATATAAATATTATCTTTTATAGCTATCACAACAACATTTATATATTTGTTAAGACACTCTTTATGAAAATCCCCAAATCGAAATTTTGTAAGCTAAAATAGAATAAACGGAAAAAAATCAAAACATTATTAAATAGTTATGCTAATGTTTAAATAAAATTTTAAAAAGAGAAACATGCAGATGATTGATTACAACTCATATGCTACTGCAAAATTTTATCATTATCGTTAAGTTTTAAAATACAGATGAAAGATATTGGAAAAAGCAGTTGCAGAAAAATTGTGCTAGAAATGCATAATAGAGCGTTTTACACCTTTCTTATTAATTATTATGTAAATGAATTCCTTTCTTATAAATTATACTTATAATGTAAATGTTAGAAAATCTTGGATTCCATTTAAATAACTAGATTTGACATTTGTGACATCCTGTTACAATCTGAAAAACATAGGCAGTAAAAATTCACGTCATCTTCATTTTGTGTTTCATCAGGATTTTTCACAGCAAAATGAAAAGTATTTTTTAAGTGTTGATATGCACTAACAATGTAAGAAAAGTTATATTAATCAAATTATTGCATATATGTAATAAAAGCCTGTTTTTTACAAATACTCGTAGAAATTTTGGCTTAAATATTTTTTAATGTGAAAATATTTCATTTGTAAATCAATTATAATAAAAATATTTACTACATAATTAAAATTTTTATTTTGCATTTTTACCCTTTTCCTTTCAGCTCTTTCTTCTTCTTCCTTTTTCAGTCTTTCTTCCAGTTCAATCCTTTGCCTTTCAGCTTCCTCTCGAGCTTTCCTTTCTTGTTCTTCTTTTTCAGCTTTCTATAAACACAGCACATAAGCAATTTTAATCATCAGCTTTTTAAATGAGGGATTTTTAATTATGTCTTTTCATACAAAATAATAAAATGTTATTATACATTTTTAACAAGTCCATACAATAACAAAAAATAGCTCTCATGGCAATGTACCTTTATCATATCCTTTAGAATCAAACATTTTGTTTTCGCCTTATACATCAAACAAAAAAATTGACACTTTTTATCAATGTACATCCATGCATGTCATTTGCAGCATGCCAAAACCACAAATTTATACTTTTAGCTTTTTCACTTTAATGTAATTCCTGAATGTGATAGAGAGACCTGAATGTGTGATTAAAAGATGATTCAAGTTTTAAAATGTTTTTAGAAGGGGAGAAAACATATAAGTCATAACTTAAATCCTCTCAAAATAAGACATACATAAAAATATTTAAACGATTTTTTTAACTTCATTTATTTAGATCCATAGTTTTAGTCTGGTGTGAATGATATCATTACATTCTTATATTTTTATAGTTCATGTATGAACATATATTATGCATGTTCCTCCTGCATAAGAGGTATGAAGGTAACAAAACCAGTATTTTATAAAGTTTTAAAGGGCTATATGTTAAACAATTAGTACACAGTGGCTGTAAATTTTCCCAGTATTATTGAAAATACTGCTGGAAAACTAAAACAGGTACAAAACCTGTTTCGTTCCAAAAATCTAATGAATTCCAATTCAAAAGCATAAAAAACGCATATACATCAAGTCAGCATTAAACCACTTAAGTATCACTAAAACTGTGCAAATACATTCCTCACTAAACATAAATTATGAGGACTCTCCTTATACATAGATTATACAGGGCAAAAATATGAATGAAATTTCCAGAAATCTCCGTACTTTATTTCTATATCATGGACATAGTATATGATATAATAAAAATAACAAAAACAACATGCCAAGCTAAATATTAAAGCAACAAATAATAAGCAACAAGAATTGGCTACACATGAGCAAGTCTGCAGGACTGTGGTTTTGAAAGCATCCATACAAGAAATTTCCAGAAATTTCTGTATTTAATCTCCACAAAATGGAAGTAACAAATAACATAACAAAAGCAGCAAAAAAAAATTGGCCTAATATAACTAAATTCCCAGGGATTTAATTTTGAAGATTAAACAGAATCTTGTTTTTCAGCTGGGAGAATGAAAAGGAATAGAAGAAACAAGGGCCTACATAAGAGTTAAAAAGAAAGAAATCCAAAATCCAAAAAAAAATTCTAACTAAATGATTAGCCACAGCGATACCAAATGATAAAAATTAATCAAAAACAACTGGGAAATATCTTAAAAAACTGAAAGCAAAGAAGTATTAAGACTAAAATCATAAACCAGGAACTGAGTTTTTTTTTTTTTTTTTTTTTTTTTTTTTGTGAATATTGAATACCTCCAAGAAATCTAATTTGCTAATAGAGGATGATTTTTGAATAATTTTGAGAATGGAAAACGTGATTTTTTTTTTTTTTTTTTAACTAGCAGTGATGGGTAATGCAGTATTTATGAGTTTATTTAATTATTTTCCTTGAATATAAGTCTCATGCTCTTTGGTGTAAAATTTCATGGCTTTTCTTGTCTGACCAATGTATGAGGAGTGTTCAAATGAAAAGGTACAAAACCACGCTGTGGGTATAATTGAAGTCTTTATTCACAAACAATCACCAGAGGCCTGAGCCCAACTATCCCACTGTTTCACGAACCAAAGGATTCCCTGCTCCCAGAATTCCTGTGGTTGTGACAGGAGCCTTCAGTTCGTCGTCTGAGTTGAAGCACTTTGAGATTTCTTTCAGTAGATCAAACACATGAAAGTCACAGGGCAACATGTTCGGGTTGTAGGCTCAAGCTGCTCCCACTTGGCCATTACACATGGTGTGACATTGGAGAAGTATGGACGCACGTTATCATGGAGCAGATTCATTCTCTTCATGAGCAGCCCACGCTGTTTGCTCTTGATGGACTTGCGTAAGCTATGGAGTGACTTACAGTATACATCCCTGTTAATGGTTTTTCCGTGCTCCTGAAACTCGATGGACTTCGGACATTGAAAAAGATTGTGAGCATCACCTTGTTTGCTGAGTGCACAGCTTTGAATTTTTTAGGGAAAGGTGATGACACATGCTTCCATTGCATGCTGTCTTGCTTTGTCACTGGCTCCAAGTGATGAAAACCAGCTCTCACTACCAGCAATGATCAGCTCTAGGAAAGCAAGGTCTTCATGATTCTGGAACATGTGTTACAGAGCTAGTCCCTTATGCAGTTCCTTTTCCTGTTCACTGAACTTCTTTAGAACCCACTGCTCTCACACCTTCCAATACACCAACATGTTAACAAGTTGTGCACAGTTGTCCACACTGTTCCAGTGCTGGCCCCCTATCACTGCCAACCAACCAACATTCACATTGTGACACGCCAATCACTTCTCGCCAGATCATTCACCTTGTCGATGAGTTCGGCTGTGATTACTGTGTTTGCCTGACCTAGTCTTGGGTCATCATTCGAACGGGCGCTACACTTTCTCACTGACTTGTCCGACACACAGTTTACTTTGTATATGACCATCATCTGGTGATGAATATTGGCCAATTTAATCCTTTCCACAGTCTGAAATCTGATAACCCATCACTGCTCCTCAATCGTTGTATTTTGCAATGTGAACAGCATGATGTCCTCACATGCACTGCTGTGTCAATTGGACGGAACATACAACTGCCTACTCGCCTATGGTATGTGCAGGCACCCGCCGTAGACTATACTGGCATGCCTAAATGTTTCACTACATTATCCCAAAATGGCATATACAAATTTCAACCAGTTTGGTAGTTATCATGTTTCGTACCTTTCAAATGAACAGCTCTCATATATTAAATCACCCTGGAAAGGAATACTGCAGGCACCCTAGAAGATGACATCTGGAATGGGCTTTTATATATCAAATTGCAAAACATTAAGTGAATAACAGTTTATCACGTTAGTCACTATTCTATAACATGATAAGAGAAATATTTTATTTTGTTAAAAACATATCAAAGATAATCAAACTGAGATTTGCAAGAAAAGCTTATAATATGATAATAACTGGACAAAAATAAAATTATCTTATTTAATTATTTAAATTGTTTTAGTAATTATAAAGAATGAAAAACAATCAGCGAATTATTACAAAGAACACAAAAAATAGGGTTAATTATTATACAATATATTTCATTAGTTGCTGATATTTTAATAAACAAATATTTTATATTTATATATGAAAAATAATGTAGTTTTTATTAAATTCTTGGAATTTCTTATACTAGTTTCTTAAACCAAGGCATTTTTCAGGAACCTAATGATAACATTGCATGGGGATTATCTGTGTTAACAAATACTTACACAAATTTATAACAAAGTTATTTTATTCACAGGTTTATTTATTTATTTATTTATTTATTTTTGCCTAACATATATTATTATCTTTGGACTTTTGAAACTGCAATAAGAATTATAAAAAAAAGTCTGCAAATGATAAAAAGTAATGTTGAAAATTCAAACATCTGATATGGACATAATACAGTCAAAAGTCGTTAATTCGGACACCCATAATCCGGAATGATCTATAATCCGGATCTCAAAGCTAAACAACTTTCTGCGCGTGCGCCGCGTTGACACATGCGCATAGGCGTTTACGCATGCGTGTAAGACCTTTAGGACTGTGCATATGCGTGTGCGCAAGCGCAGAATATGTTTTCGCATCGGCGTATAACGGACGGCATAAGCTAAAATTATCTATTTCAGTTAATGTTGATGATTGCGTTGTTCCTTAATCTTCGAATTGGACCCGGCTTATTATTTTTTGCAGACTGTAAGAGCAATTTTATAAAAGTAAGCTTGAACTTTCGATTATGCCAAATAGAATTTCCGATGCTGGAGCTCCCAAAGGATCTACAAAACAAAAGTATGCATCGATGTCCATCAAACAAAAAGTGGAATTGCTGCAAAAAGAGGATAAAGGTATGAAGAAAGTGACAGAGAGGTGATTTGTTTCTCTAATCATTCCGAAATCTGTTTATCAATTTCACGCTGCTCTGCGGGGAGAGGGAGGGACGTTGCAGTGCGCAATGAACTGGAAGTTGATCTGTCAGCACTATCCTTATCTTCAGGGAAGATATTTTTATTTTATTTGGCTTATAATTCCTTACTAAATGTAGTATTTCATATTGTTGTACGCCGTCCTTGATATGATTTAAATCAAATTCCTCATCATTATAAATATCACGAATACACATCAAATAGTTTTCTGGTTGCAATTTTCTAATTTCGACTATGCATAATGTACACTTTACGTATGCGCGCGTTGAAAGAAATGTTTAACCCGGCAGAAGGCGCACACCCAACACTGACGTTGGAGATCGCGCGGGGTGACAGCGTCACCCCAATCAGTTTCATTAGGAAAATGTGTTATATATTTTATAGAAATCATTTGATTATAAACAATAATTGCAATATTTCATTTAGAAACTATACTTCTTTACTTAAAAAACTTATTTCAATATTTAAGAAAAAAATCCATTCAAAATATGTATATACCTAATCAGGAGTCAGAAGCTAACATACTCTTCTGGCAAACATAGGAAGAATGAATTTTACATGAAAATTTATCACATATTTTGCAAGAAATTGTAGTTTTTATTGTCTTTGGATCTTGGACACATAGCACATCGGCCTTTGTCGAGTTTTGGTTTCTTTGATGGGCGTTCTTCTGATACACTAGAAGTCGCATTATCGATGCTTTCACGAACCACTTTAGGAAATGTTGACATATTTTTTGTAATCTCTATGTAAGGCGCTGTATAAGAGACATAGCCAAATTTTTTAGGAATTTTCTGCTATTTCCATATTGTAAGGGAGGGGTCTTTGTTGGGAATAAAGCAACTCGGGTATTTATTGCAGTGACGTTCAACACAGTAAAAGACGACCATCGACCATATGTTGGCTTTTTGAGATGTCGAATATAACAATAACATTTCATCAACTTTATCTACACCACTTTTGTTGCATTATGAAAGTAAATTATTTCTGGTTTCTTCGTATCATCACTTTTATCAATGGCATCATCGCAATGCATCGTAGATAACAAAACTACACATTTTGATTTTTTAGGCACATACGAATACTATTGTCACGTTCTTTTAGAACACAAATATAGATAAATAACCATTCCTAGTTTTTGTTTGGATGAACTTGGTGGGAATTTCAGCCTTGTTTCTGTTCAGGGTTCCTAAAATAGTTAACTTTCTTTGACAAAAGTTCTTTTGCTAGAGGAATAACTCGTATACCAATTATCCACTTATTATATTTCTGCCCAAACAAAGGGTGCACAGGCGTTTTGTAATTTCAAATGGAAGAATTTTCAAATCTAAAAAGGGACCTTCCGACTGTTGTCCTTGCGTATATCTCCATGTTATAGCTGCAGAAAGTTCTTGAATCTACTAAGGCAAATATTTTGATTCCATACTTCGATGGGTTGCTGGGTATATATTGACGAAAGGAACACCGCCCTCGGAATTTCTCTAATTTTTCTTTGATAGTAACATATTTACCAATAAGGTATATCTTTTGGCAATTTTCATTGAAATCGGTAAAAAATTCTCTCGCAGCCGCCAGTTTGTCCAATTTTTCGAGCTTCACGATTGGTCACATTGTCTAACCATAGACACCTGAGAAGAAATTTAAATCTTTTATATGGCACTGTGTTCCGTAAAATTGCAATGCCTATTTCAATTTTCCGTAGCCCACAAATCTTGCATATTTTTATGTGACGATTTATGCAAGCCGTACAGATGTAAAAGCCCAAAAAGTGCTCTAATTTCCACATCACAGTGGTTTTGGCATCCCGATCTCTGGTGCAATTTGCCGATATTTTTTCAATATAAATATTTGTACACTCTACAATGGATTGTATCATTTTAGCATTGAAAAACAATTCTCAACTTTCTAGAAGCTCCATTATATTGCATGCAGTTTCTTTTAATTCTGCTAAATGAGTTATTATAATTTGAGAAGACCTTTTTCACTTTTTGATTTGGTTTTCCATTCCGCCAAACTCTTATTTTTGCTAATAAAAATACTTTTTACTAAATCAGGATTTCCGTCATCATCATCATTCTGCTCAAATTCTCTTTCGCTGTTGTGAGAACTGTATATTTATCAGATTCATTTTTACTATCTTGATCAATTTCTCCTTCAGAAGACTCAACTTCATCTAATACAGTTCTCAAACTTTCCATCTCTTTTTCATGTTCAGTAAATTTACGTTTGTAAACCATTATCTATCAAATAATCCAACAGAACCACAACAGCAACACTCGAGAGCACGAAGCTAAACTTCTACTAATGAAAAATTTCGAAGCAGTAATGGTCTCACGGGGTGACTAAGTCACCAAATTCCCTCATGGATTCCAAGAAACGATTGCTTCTCTTGCAGAAAAGAACAAGCAAAAATAACAATACACATTCCAAGGGGAGTGTCAAACAAGAGGATACTAAAAGGATGATTCATTAAAATGAAATATTTCCGGTTAGGATTGTTGATTTTTGACGCGTGGGGTGACTCTGTGCCCCGCGCGACTTCTCCCGGGTTAATAAAGTAAACAAATAAATATTAAGCTTTTTTTTCTTTTTTAAATTTTTATATCCTTTGGATCATAATTTATTTCATAAATTACGGTTTCATATTTTTAATTTTAGAATTTCTGCATGCCATCTTACGAGATTTAAACTGATGATCTATAATCCGGAATCGCCGAAGTCCCGACGAGTCCGGATTAACGACTTTTGACTGTATATGACTTCCCTGTATGCATATTAAATTACACAAATTTTCTACTGCATTTTATTTAAACTTATTTCCTTGAATCATTCTAACTTAAATAGCCGATCCCTCAAAGCAAGTTAAAAATGACATAAAAAACTGCAAAGTTTGAAATTAAATTTCATGGTCAATTTTTGACATACGGAAGTCAAACTTCTTGTATTTTCATTTTTTCATAATGAGTATAAAACTTTTCCAAATATAACCAGGAGACCACATTAAAAGTTAGATTTCATTATTTGTCCGAAATTAATTTTTTTTAATCTGACGTTGCCAAAAAATGAATATTTCAGTCATTTAAAATACTTTTGTAGTTGGAAGCATATGTCTACAACAAACAATCATGAAAACAAAATAAAGGCCAGATATGGATTTTTAGCCATGTAAGGAAGATAATACTTTTAGTAGTGCTGACTGCCCCCCCCCCCAAAAAAAAAGGTGCACAGCTAGATGTTATACAAAATTTCAACATTCTACAGCTAATAATCATTTTTTAACTATGCAAGCTACATAGGTACATACATATGTACAGATGTCTTGAAAAAAAATCTATTTTTAATCCATTTTACAATCTGGTTAGGAAGAAAAAGCCTTATATTCTTTCTGTAGATGTCATGCCCCCCAAAGGTCAAAATGGATATTTTTGTTGAAGTTTGAAATCATTTGCATTTACAATACTTAATTTACTTTGTATATGGAAGTAAAAATGAAACTGCATAAATTATCAGAACTACCGATGATCGTGTTCATGATACTGTATTATTAGATTAATAGAAGTCCCTTTAAAAAACTTTTTAATTGAAATTTAATTATATACAAACTAAACAAGAGACTAGAAATCACAAAAATAAATAAATAACTTACACTACAAGGAGAGCATTATCATGATTTAATGAAAAAAGACAAACTACCTGTCGAGCTTCTTCTTCCTTTCTCTCTTGCTCCTCTCTTTCTCTCTGTTTCTGTTCTTCAATAGCCTTTCGAAGCTTTTCTTCTTCTAACTGTCTGTGTAATTCAGCCAATCGTATCTGTTCTTCTTCCATTCGCTTCTGTTCTAGTTCTTCAAGTCTTCTTTGTTCTTCCTCTTTTCTCCTACATTATAAAATTTTAATGTTAAGAACAGAGTTTAATGTTTTAATAAAAAATCCATCTGGAAACACAATACACATTCATTCTAGTTACTTGGAAATCATAATATTTCAACACATTGAAATTGTTGCCCCAGTTTTCTGCATTAGAAATTTTAAATAAAAAAAGTCCGCTTAACAATTTACAAAGATATAAATTATTTGTTGAAATAAATTGCATAACAAAGACAGAAACTATACGTTTAATAAACAAAAATATTTTGTATTCAAACATTTCAACTTCCTTTTCTCTTCAGATAGATAAATATTTAGACTGATTCTTTCAGTCATGAATTGACCGTACAAGTAACACTTTTTTTTTAAATACCTGAGTCCTTTACATCAAATTACATTTCTCACAGTATTTTATATACAATTCAAAGACTCAAAATAAGCAAAGAAAATTGTTTTGTGACATCCTCTTTAGCACTGTGGGTACTGCATTTTTCAACCTCTCACCTGAAAGGAATCTCTCCTTATTCAATTATCTTTCCAGTGATAATACACAGAAATCATATCACTAAGTTTAGGTTATATGCCTCAGATTCTAGGGTTGATAGATTGATTTCAGACAGTATTACTAATGTAACAGTAGCAGCAAGCAATCAAAAGTCTCCTAGCGCAAAACCAATTATTTCTTGACCACATCCAGTCCCTTTCTTTATTGTGGCTCCTTACAAATAGTTTGCAAGGTATTTACATAATAGTCATTGCTTACTATTTACACATAGGTATGCAATATTGGCAAGCATAATTACACAGCACAATCTGCTGGAACATGCTTTGTCGATCACTCACACGTCATCACACTGAAATGCATCTACTACTGAAATATCGAAGCACCGACTAAATATTTCATCAGTTAATGCATAACGTAACATTTTAAGGGTTTCATGTCCAAATAGTGAAAACTATGGCTGTCCAACCTCAGGTTCAATCATTATAATGCAAAACTTTCATAAAACAAAGTACAAGGGTGTCATGCATAATACCAGTAAAGATAAATAAAGTTTATCTCAAACATTTTAGTCATTTCTCACATTTCATCTTACCCAAAATATTATTTAAAATTTCCAATTAAAAAAATAATAACCATTTTGAGAAAGTACAAAGCCTGAAACTTGAATACCCAATATCCAGATTGATCCAAAATCCAGAATCCAGATTATCAGCAACACTTTTACTTTTAAGAAAAAAATTTTGTACGCAGAAGAATTTATTATTATTTTCATACTTTCATAGTTACTTTTTGCATATATTGGCCCTCTTATTTTACACTCACTTGTACAGATATTTTTCATAATAAAACTTGGAGAGTCCGGATTCTTAATTTCACGTCACAAAATAAAATACTTCAAGATTTAAGAAACAATTATTTATTAGTAAAATATACATACCAATAATATGGCTCTGTAGCCACATTTTTGCTTGGCATACATCTCAACTATTCTACGAATGATTTATATCCAACACCAAGCTGACAAATCATTATTTATCATTTTTTGCTTTTAGTATCATTGCATGACTATCAACCCATGGCAGCTTGAGAAATGACTCCCAACAATGTCTAAATTTGTTTTAAAATATTAGTCACTGAATACCAAAGAGCATGGTAAACTTCTATGTTGCTATTATGCTTGATGATAATTACAGGTTTCCCGCTAATTCCACTGCCACCTGATGTTGACCACGACTTATTTAATAGAAATTTCTTTCTATATACAGTCAAAAGTCGTTAATTTGGACACCCATAATCCGGACCTCAAAGCTTCAAACTTTTCTGCGCATGAGTCGCATTGACGGCTGAGAAGGCCTTTACGGATGAGAATATGCTTGTGCGCGTGTGCAAAATACATTTACGAGTGCACGTTTAATATATAACGGATGGTAAAAGCTAAGCTAAAATTATTTAATTATCTATTTCAGTTAATGTTGCAGATTGCGTTGTTCCTTAATCTTTGAATTGGATCCAGCTTATTATTTTTTGCAGACTGTTAGAGCAATTTTATAAAAGTAAGCTTGAACTTTCGATTATGTCAAATAGAATTTCTGATATATATTTATTAATATGTAAATGATCTACAAAGCGAAAGTATGTTTTGAAGTTCATTAAACAAAAAGTGGAATTGCTACAAAAAAATGGATAAAGGCATATCCTTTGTTTATCTAAACTTTAACGTTTGTTTATCTTTAACGCCACGGCGCCGCGCAATGAATAGGAAGTTGATCTGTCAGCACTATCCTTATCTTCAGGGCAGATGTTTTTATTTTATTTGGCTTATAATTCCTTATTAAATGTAGTATTTCATCTCGATGTACCCCATCTTTGATATGATTTAAATCAAATTCCTCATCATTATAATTCGCTTCTGATAGCGAAGAAAGTAACATAGGTTATTGAAAACGAAAAAATTTCAATTGACAAATTAGTCGGTATTCTTGACACAGCAATTATAGGACTTGAACAGCGGAACTTTGTAACTGAACAAGAAATTATGTCTGTTTAAAGAATTAAAGAGAATGTATTATCACATAAAAAAACGAAGCAACTTAAACAACTTACATTGAAAGAAATGTTTAATAAAGTAACACAAATAAATATTAAGCTTTTTTTTTTTTTTTTTTTTTTTGTAAATTTTGATACCCTTTAGATCATAATTGTTCTTTATTTCATAAATTATGGTTTCATATTTTTAATTTTCTGCATGCCATCTTACAGATTTAAACTGATGATCTATAATCCGGAAAAATCGATAATCCGGAATCGCCGAAGTCCCGACGAGTCCGGATTAATGACTTTTGACTGTATAAAAAAAGTAATAAAAAAAAAAAAAAACCCCGAAGGCCTTCAGATTTCACAATAAGCCCAAAGGTGGTTCCCCCCCCCATTTTATGTGTTACCTTTATTTATTAAACATCATGTTCTTTGCCCTTAAACTATAAAATTCAGTTCAACAGCAGTATCACAAAATAATTTTAGAATGAGCATATCCTTTAAAATTTCCCATATAAAGTTTCATGCGCTGGGTATAAAAATGTTTTTTTTTCCCCTGTACAGTGTTACCATTTTTAAATCATTATTTAATTTCTTTAAATATGACACAGTGCTCTAATATTTGGTGGTAACAATTTGAAAAGTGAATTCGCATTTTCAACGCAAAATGCCAAAATGAAATTAATAGTCCCTATGGGCAAATTGTCCCTTTGGACTAAAAATCAAAATCAAAATCAGATTTTACATAAATTATAGACATAGGCCAAAAGATTACATTTACTGCTGTTTGAATTGAGAATAACTGGTTTATTATTCAGATAAGATCAGGGCAAGGGCAAATTTTTAGAATTTAGACAAGCACCGAGCAACAATTAAAGAATTTAAGAAAGGCATTGGAATGTAAAATTTAGGCCTGGCAAAATTTTTAGAATTTAGTAAGGTGCTTGGCAGTAGAATTTCAGATCTGCAGAAATATGCTGACTGCAAAATGTCTAGCGCCTGCCCTAGATAAGACTTAAGTATATATGGAAATTTACTCAAGATTCAAATAAGCCTTAAGTGTGTACAGGAAATAAGCATAATAAATAACTAAACTTGTGTAATTCAGGCTGAACTTAATCGTTGTGCAACAGAAGCACAAAATTTAGTGAAACAACAAATCGGCAGTTTCATGACACTTACCTATAGCATATAGCATATAGCTAAGCTTTCTGATGATAGCCGTGAATCTGAAGGCATAAAACACTCCCATTAATGCAATTTGTGAAGGAATGTGAAGTGGTAATAAATGACGATTTAACAAAAGTTTTTACTGCAGCAAACAATGCCCTAATCATCAGTCAATGCATGGCAAAATCTGTAGTATGGTTGGTTCTAAATCCAGAAAATATCACTACAATAGTGAAGAAAGTAACATGGAGCTTAACAAGAATGAAAAATTTTGATTGACAGTTTTGTAGGAATGTATGACACAACAATACAGGACTTGAGCTACTGGAACTTTGTAATTGAACAAATTATGTCTCTCAATAGAATTAAAGAGAAAATATTAGCACAAAAAATGAAATAACTTATATTGCAAGAAATGTTTAATATAACAAATAAATTAACATTAAATCACCCACCCCCTTTTTTTTTTTTTTTTTTTTTTTTTTTTGAAAAATTTTATTCTTTTAAGGTCACAAATGTTTCATTATTTCAAAAATCAGTGCTTCATATCTTTAATTTTAAAATTTCTCTATGTCACCTTGCTTCATTTAAGCTGATAATCCAATATCCAGAAAAACTTCAAATTCAGAATTGCTTGATAAGTATAGATCTCGTACTTTGCACTGTATTTAATATTTAAATTCTGTTACAATATGCACATTCTTGTCAATGCTGTTTATTACTGTTATTGTTGGAAGAATATGCCAAAGTACTTACTCTGGTATGCATTTTTTTGTTCGACTACGCATGAGCATTTTCACTCTAATGAAGAAACTACACTGCATTTGTTGTTTTCCTAAATGAAGTACTTTTGCCAAGTACTTAAAATGTAGAAACATGTATCTACATACAATACTTTAAGATTGTAATTAACTTAATCAGTCATGGTTAAATTATGGTGTCTCATGGTTAGGTAGAATTACTCAAAGTTGGCTAAATACACTAGATCAGTGGTTCTCTACCATTTAACTAATGCATACCATCTAAAAAAAAATGAAAACCTTTAGTACCACCCCATTCTACAGTAGTTAATTTTCAATTTCTCAATAAAAATATTAAATATATATATATTGTCATTTGCACAACCTATGGGCTATTTGTATTAAAACAGTGAAATGTTTCCTTGTTAAAACCCAAGCTCCGTCAATGCATACGAGAGTGAACTTATTCGAAGTAATATCATTCTCAGACATAAAATTACCAGTTACTTTGAAAGTTTTATTTGCAGCTGCTCTATCCTGAAGAGATTCACAAAACAAATA